ACAAACATGGCCCGGAATTCATTCATACCAGCTTGTACCATGTTTTGTAATAAATCTTGTGATGATAATTTATTTAGCTCTTATTCGCCGTGCCACATTTAATGTTAATTACGTTCGTGATGTTCTTATTTATTTAAATATGTGTTTATCAATAAACGGAGATCTTGTGCTGATGTAACCCAAATTTCCTTCGGGATAACAAAGTGTTATCTTATCTTAAGTTGGTTCGCGGTGAGTCCTTGGATGGGTTACCGCGTTTGACCGCTTGGCTTCTGGGAGTTCCTTGGGGGCTTGGGCTTCGGCCCTGCCTCACAAGAAGCACACGTGGTGTCTCCTTGGGTCAGTAGTGAGTGAGTGAGCTGGGTTTAACGCCGGTTTTAACAGTATTCCAGTTATATCGCGGCATGTCGGCTTATTGTGAGAGGAAAGCCCGAAGTGATGCAGGTCTGGGACGTTTACCACTTCGGTGAAAACCACGTGCACGGGTATGGTGCTGACAAACCTAGAAACATAATCGGGGCGAGCCGGGATTCGAACCCACAATCATAGGTTTCTGGCGTGCCTAGGGGACGCAACTCTAAACTCTCGCGGCGCCTTTGATGACTGGGCCACCCGTGCCCCTCAAATGTACAGTAAGAATAACAAATAGCACACAGGTAATGACGCATACGAGTAATGAAGACAGATGTCTTGTGACAAGCTGATTGGACCCTAATTAAAAGAGTATATTGCTTGATTAGATCTTCATAAACAGACGAGACGTAATACCCTTGATCTTTGATCAAAGGTTTGTGATGGTGGATTTCTATAGCTTCTGAGAATTTTCATTTGTTGAAGTCCTCATGTTTGGTTGAGAGGATCCCCTAGTAATCATATTCAGTTTGACAAAGCCCAATCCTCGTATGTTTTCTTACACGCCAACTTCTAGAATGCCAATAAAACAGTTACCAACTCACTCACTCACTCACTCACTCACTCTCTGAAGGTAAGAAACTAGTCATCCGTGACGGGCAAGTATTTTGACACAATGAGCAATCGTGGCTTTTTCCATCAAAGTTTACTCATGACTCATTGTTTTCTGTTTTCTGATGTAGAAATGTGATGCACTTTGTCACTCATAACCTGCTGAGGATTCCCAACTCTATATATATGCTAAAGCGCTTCGATTTTCGATACGAACCCATCAGATGTTGTTAGCAATTACCCTTCACTTCATTGAGGGAATGTAACGCGATTAAGAGGATGCTATGACGAAAAGATGCGTCAGAGAGACGGTTAAGCCTGTATGACTAATTCATTAATCTATTTGCTTAATGACGACATAAAGTTTTTTATGAACGCACTTGATGATCTGCAACTGTGGTAAAAATACTTTTCTCCCTGTGTATATATTTATGCATATATATTTATAATTTCTTTCATTATTTTTGAAATTGGAAATAACATAGATGCACCATTCATTTGAGGATTCTTAAGTAAAATTGGATAGAATTTATTTTCATAATCGAGTATATTCTCTTTAGATTATATACCCGTAAAGATCCGAAATAGAATAGGTCTTCAGTAACCCATGCGTGTCGTAAAAGGCGACTATGTTTGTCTTAAGAGGGAACTGACAGGATCGGGTGGTCAGGCTCGCTGACTTGCTTGATGCATGTCATCGTATCCCAATTGCGTAGGTCGATGCTCATGGTGTCAATCACTGGATTGTCTGAGCCAGACTCGATTATTTACAGACCGCCGTCATATAGCTGGAATATTTCCGAGTGCGGCGTTAACAAACAAACTAACTAACTAACAAAACTTCAGATTATAAATAGTTAATATATCAACAATATGGTCTGGTGGGACGAACTAGTGTTGACATACTTGATCAGCTCAAAATAACATTTACCTCGAGCGTCTCGGCCATTTTTGTTTTGCAAGACCAATGTTAAATAACACATTTTACAATAAGGACAGGTAAATAACACAAGTTATAACACAAGTTGTCCTAAATGTAAACGTACATATAGAGGACATACAAAGCCGTACAATTGCTGACCGAGATGGTGCCAGATCAAGGTTGAGAATATGAGGCTGGGGAATCCCGCATTTCATTCAGTAAATGGAATGTGTGACAGCTCTTCATATGACACTCGATCCCCAGCGTCTTGAGTCCCGAGACACCCCGCTGTGAGCACATCTACCCATTACAGACGTATGTCTCGTGATGATTCATATAGGCCAACACCCTTTTGAAAACCAAATGATTATGTTGAAAGCAATAAAAATTTCTAGAGAGACAATATTAATGTTTCGGACTCTCCTTTTTAACAATTCTTGAATTATGAAAAACTATCAGCTGGAAACGCCTCGATCAGAAATAGACATGATATCATTACAAAGCAGGATGTAGAAGAGACACTAAACAAGTTTCTGGGTCAGATCGAGTGGCTTCTCTGTGTCGTTTCCTCGGCGTATGTTCAGGGATTATATATACAAAGGCGGGCATTTAGCTTAACATGGCCGAGTGAGGCATTAAAATCAGTCACCCTCTCACCCCACTTGGTAGCGGGGTAAAATAGGTTTTCAGCAACCCATGCTTGCCGTAAAAGGCGACTTTGCTTGTCCTAAGAGGCGACAAACGGGATCGGGTGGTCAAGCTCGCTGACTTGGTTGATGCAGGTCATCGTATCCCAGTTGGCTAGATCGGTGTTCATGATATCAGTCACTGGAATGTCTGGTCCATACTCGATTATTTACAGACCGTCGTCATATAGGTGGAATATTGCTGAGTGCGGCTTTAAACAACAAACAAACAAACAAATCACACGGTAGCGTCTACCAGCATTTGTTCGAAACCAGTATTTAATAATCATTTTAATCTGGAACAATATATTTTTACAAATAATCACAGGCCCCTTCTAGAATATCAAATGCTCAGCATCTTAGTATTAAATATATCTGTCCTGTATTGTTGAAATCTAAATCTTAGTGTAGAGTATATAGATCCTGGTTTGTTGAAATCTTAGTGTTGAATTTATCGATCCTGTTTTGTTGAAATCTTAGTGTTGAATATATCTGTCCCGTATTGATGAAATCTTAGTGTGGAATATATCGATCCTGGTTTGTTGAAATCTAAGTGTTAAATATATCGATCCTGTTTTGTTGACATCTTACTGTTTAATATATCGATCCTGTTTTGTTGAAATCTTAGTGTTGAATATATCGATCCTGTTTTGTTAACATCTTAGTGTGGAATATATCGATCTTGTTTTGTTGAAATCTTAGTGTGGAATATATCGATCCTGTTTTGTTGACATCTTAGTATTGAATATATCTGTCCCGGTCTGTTTATATCTTAGTATTGAATGTATCTTTCCCGTATTGTTGGTTTCTCACTACACGTCTTTGATATATCTGTATGTTCGCTTTTGATGGAACTTTAGCAGTGTTACAATCAATGCAATGGAAACTGTACACTCGTCGCTCTGACAAGTATGAATTTGTCCCAACGAACCTTATAGTAGTCTTTGTATATACCAGAAGCTATGGTGGGTTTAATCAAGAGATGCCCTGCTTTATTGCATGTGTTGGTCATTACTGGCAGTGCCCGAAGGGACCGTTAGCCAGGAGTCTGAACTAGAGGCAAACTGTGTCGACACCATGATGGGCTGTACCATTCAGAGCTCAGCATCCCGAGCCACGGGCTCTCGTTACCCGAGTCAGATGTCTGCACTGCACAGACAAGTATTGGATTTACATACTCCATCTAATCGTATATAGCATCCTTATCTCGAAACCAGAGTGGCTGAGCTTTTTGCAGGCTGTGAAACCATTTCTACTTGAAAGGTCCTTAAGTGGCCTTTGGAATATGCTGGTAGTTGACATCTCAGGCAAATTCCATTTTCGTCATACAAATGTGGTAGAAATCAGTGTTCCGGACTGTGAAACGTTAACGGTAGGAGTTCCAGTGGAAGGTATGGCACATGGTGCATTTATGACCTTGATCTGTTTAGTGGGGCATGGTACATTACCAACGTGGAGATCCATTGCGGCACATGGTCAGTAGTGTACCTTTCTTGGAGCCGTTATGTGGCACAAACATGGGGCTCATGATCAACCATTATCTGGATCCGAGGTTGTGTGGCACAGTGAGACATAGCTTGGATCCATTGTGTGGCACTGTGAGACATAGCTTGGATCCGTTCTTTGGCATAGTTAGACACAGCTTGGATCCGGTGTGTGGCACAGTGAGACATAGCTTGGATCCATTGTGTGGCACTGTGAGACATAGCTTGGATCCGTTGTTTGGCACAGATAGACATAGCTTGGATCCGTTGTGTGGCACAGTGAGACATAGCTATGATCCGTTGTTTGACACGGTGAGACATAGCTTGGATCCATTGTTTGGCACAGTGAGACATAGCTTGGATCCGTTGTTTGACACAGTGAGACATAGCTTGGATCCGTTGTTTGGCACAGTGAGACATAGCTTGGATCCGTTGTGTGGCACAGTGAGACATACTCAGCAATATTCCAGCTATATGATGACACTCTCTGTATAACCGAGTTTGGAACAGACAACCCAGTGATTGACATCATGAGCATCCATCTACGCAAATGGGATACGATGACATGAATCAATTAACCGAGTCAGTCTGTCCATCTGTTCCCGTTAGTCGCCTCTTACGACAAGTATGTGTTGCTGAAGACTAATTCTGACCCGGATCTTCACGGGGGGCCATTGCAGTGTTCAAATTAGTTTCATACAGAACCTGAAACAAATATCGGTCGAGATGTTTTTCAGTTTCAAGTAGGAAAATGAAGAGATTGGCCCGTTTCTCTTGTGTATTACGTATCAAAATAATGCCTAATCAAATTTATTTCAGAGACCGAATCTCCAGGTGTACGAGAGGTACAATGTGCACATAAAATTAGATGGTTTGAGAAGAACTTTTTTAGTAAACTAAATACTATATGTCAATAGTACAGCTAAAGATTTTTTTATGTTTCAGAGTAGAAAGAAAGCTGAATCCCAAGCATCTCTGGTCACGTGATTGCAAGTCGGCTTGGAACTTCGACCAGATTTTTGACGACCAAATTCAAGCACAACTCCATCTGAATTACGCTAGCTTCCGATTTCACCGCGGTGCATAGCTCACTCGTTAGTGAACATTCAGTACCATGAGTTTTCGGTTTGTGGTATATGTGAAAACGGGGGACCAGCGGGGGGCAGGGACGGACGCCAACGTCACTATTACGCTCCATGACAGCAACGGTGCTAAGTCGGAAGCTGCCGATCTTGACAACTTCTTGAGAAACGATTTCGAGAGAGGGCAAACTGATAAATTCTCTCTTTCAAAAAGCAAAACCAACGCGATTGGGCCGGTGATCGCCAAAGTTGAGTTCTGGCGCGATAGTTCGGGGATTGGTTCTGATTGGTACCTCGAGCTAATCACTGTGGAGAACATGACAACCGGAAAAACGTTCGAGTTTCCGGTTCTGCGCTGGATCGAGAGTGACTTTCATTACGTCATCACGCACCTGGACACGTCACTTCCGCAATTTGACGAACAGAAAGCAATGAGAATAAAAGAGCTCAGCAAGAAGAGAAAGGTCTACGAATACAGTCAAAAAGCGAAAGGAATGCCATCGCAGGTAGACTTTTTTATATATAATAATCATTGTTAATAATGTCTTCAATTCAGTATGAAACACTCATGTTGTACAATGTGTGAAGGCCATTTCTGGTGTCCCCGCCGTGATATTGCTGGAATATTGCAAAAAGCGGCGTAAAACCATACTCACTCACTCACTCATGTTGTATTCTCAATCTCCCGAACTCTTGCCACCCTGTGGGATTCCGGTTGATAATAACCTCTCAGGAACTTATGAGGGGGCACGGGTGGCCCAGTCGTCTAAGGCGCCGCGATTCGCTGTGCAGAGTTGCGTCCCGTGGACACGCCAGAAACCTATGATTGTGGGTTCGAATCCCGGTTCGCCCCGATTATGTTTCTAGGTTTGTCAGCACCATACCCGTGCTTACCGAAGTGGTAAACGTCTGAGACCTGCATCACTTCGGGCTTTCCTCCCACATTAAGCTGACACGCCGTGATATAACTGGAATACTGTTAAAAGCGGCGTTAAACCCAACTCACTCACTCACTCACTAAGTAATGCTGGTCGGAAGAGTCGGATCATGTTGGTAGGCTCGGTGACTTGGCTGCTTGGCGCCATCGTACCCCGACAGCGTGGATCATCGCTCGCAATATCAATCACTGGATTGTCTGCTCCAGATTATTTACAGGCCGCCGTCATTAGCTGGGACATGGCTGAGTACGGAGATAAGCACCAAGCAAAACAAAACACAAACTAACGTCCATTATCCATATTGTTCAACACGAAGGCGACAAAGTTGGGTTGACGTATTGCGGATATGCAATTGATGTGGTAATACGCAAGTCATTGTTGACGTAATATATAATGACATCACAGTATATGGTGACGTCCCAGTTTACTGTTGACATACGCAAAATTTTGGGATTTGAGTCTGTACACGGTTTTCCAATATAAACGAAAATTATTTCTTCAATACAGCTGTTCAGCAACCTGTCGTAACTATATAGATTATCAAAGGCAAATGAATATCGTAGTTCTACGAACGCTTTGTGGGTTCTATTATGAAGAATGCTGGATTTTGATTGGTCAAAGTAAGATGAAAAACAGGTACCTCAAAATGTCTTTTCAGTCAAACACCTTGGGTATGACAACATCGATACAAGGCTAGCTTATGCATCTACATCGATGCATATGCCAATGGCTGTCGAGAATCCATTATGATTGTGTACGTTCTATATCAGACAGCTTATCAAACATGACGAATCTAAGGGAAAACACACACAAACCACCTTGTCAGGGCCACAAAATCTTCGGACACAAAAATGAGCACTCTCAGGCACTCTCGTGTCGTACAATGTCGACTTGTCTTCAGCTAAACGACGCTAATCAGCCATAATTCAGGGTGGTTCCGTTATGAATGGTGCCGTGCAAGCAGGCTCCCAAAGAAACAGTGGTAACATGCAACATGTTGCGATGAAATTAAATATATATTTATGGAGGGTTCTCCCTGAAACACTATATATTGTGTAACCTTTATTTTTACCTGGTCACAATATAGTAATTAATCGTGAACTTGAATAATATATTTTGAAACCCACGAGCACGGGTATGGTGCTGACAAACCTATATTTGTATATTTATATATTTATAATACCATCCTCGACTATCCAACGTATTATAAATCCATACAGTATTACTATGGGAAATACCTTGGATCCAATCGTCACCTTCTTTAGCACGGTTGGAATGGAACGACGCATAAAATGGTCCAAAGTGTTTATCATAATCAATGATATACCACTGATTCACTTTGGATAGAGATATTCTCAGTAATGGTGTGGGGTCGGAACATGACTGATTGCTACAGTAGAGCGTCGCACGAAAAAGTGAGTGAGTGAGAATGATTTTACGCCGCTTTTAGCAATATTGCAGTAATATCACGGTGGGGACACTCGAAATGGGCCATGCAAATAGCCATATAGTATTTAATTCACGCATTATCAAATTCGGACAAAAACACAAATTTTCATCAGTAGACTGGAATGTATATGCATTTAGCTTTCACTGAAAACACGAATTTAGCAGTCTGAGCGCTCCATATATGCTGCGTATTTACGAAAAACCTTCAGTGTTATGACGACCCTCCTCGTAATTAGCCAATGTGTAATGGTCATTACTTTATAAACCGAAAATTATGGCACTGGTTCGCACTATAGCTAGGGCGTCAGTATATAATATTTTGGAGCAGTTCTTTATCAAAAGTTCGTCTCGTGTGTGTCTGTGTGTGTGTGTGTGTGTGTGTGTGGTTGCTTGCACTAGTCCGATTTTAAAGTACTAGCCCATGCGGATACCATGCCGCAGTTTAACATGAATACCTCTCTCAGACACATTAAACTGACTCTGAGTCATCCAGTCTTTGTTTTTATCCCCTAAATGTCGAGGGCCGGGCAGGATATCAAGTGCGTGGTCGTCTTTTTGTATGACGCGGCCGGGGATCTAACCCCCGACCTTCCGCTCTCCGGACAGGCGCTGTATCCACTAGACCACGGAGGCGGTCTCTAGTCCATATACATTACTGTGGTGTCACATACCCATCGCCACGGTGATTACGGCGTATGCCCCGAAAATATGGGCAAATAATCTCGCCTCGGGTTTCATAATTTAATTTATTTTTATTTTAGCGTCTTTTGAAATGAGTAAAACTATGACACGTTGAGGTGTTACTTGGTTTGCTTTTTAACGCCGACAATTCAGTGATTGATATCATGAGCATCGATCAACGCAATTGGGAAACGATGACATGCATCAACCAAATCAACGAGTCTGACCACCCGATCCCGTTAGTCGCCTTTTACGACAAGCATAGTCGCCTTTTACGGCAAGCATGGTTTGCTGAAGACCTATTCTACCTCGGATCTAGATGTTACTTAACTGCCCTTAAGAGTTAACTGTTCTTGAGGGGCATGGGAATCGGGGTTGATATTTCTCAAGATGGTGTGCATGTATATGTAGCACGGAGTTTGACAAGGATTCACAAACCCTCGCCGCCATCCGTTCACACAGACAATGATGTCAAGCATGAATGAGAGACACTCTTTCGCGGCGATGGGAAAACCGGAAGTTGCTGCTCTCACAGAAGCGGACGTTTTCCTGCGCAAACAATGACAGCACGTATACCAACCACACAGCTGTTATTGCGTATGTCGCGGATTTCTCCAATATGACAGGACAACAGGATACCGAGTTAGATCGTGGTTTTTAGTCATTCAGCAGATAACCCTAATGATCAAGCAGTATTATTATATATTTAAACAATTCCTTGGCTGAGAGCACGCCTTTCTACACCACTTACACGTTTAATGACGTCGCCCGCTTAATTAGAAAGACGTTGTAATATCCTACTGTATTTACGCATTACGATTTACAACATTATGCAATGTTATGTAATGCTTGGAAATCAGTATCACGTACAATCAATTAGTCACTATTAGGCCTATTTCCTAGCACCCATTCAATGAAATGCCTCGGGGAGAGCAAAGCAAATAATGACTTGGTAATTTGATTATGCAGTGGAAACGTTTCATTTTGTAACACACACGCTCACATGTTCTAGTTACCGGTGTTGGCGATTCTGAAGACTTAATATTGGGACATAATGTTTTGTATTTCTGTAGCTTGACTAGCAATTAAAAATCCATGCACGTGTTCATTTTCTTTTGAAATGAGAATGTAAATAGGTGAGGTGGTGAAATGGGGTTTAACGTCGCGTCCAAGATTATTGCACTTATATAGCGACGTGCATGTACGTGTGTGTGTTTGTGTGGCTGCTTGTACTAGTCCGGACTGATGCCGATTTATAGTGCTAGCTCACTGAGATACCATGCCGCAGTTTAAGATGAATACCCCACTCAGACACAGTATACTGACTCCTTGTTTTAGCCCCTTAATACCGAGCGCCAGACAGTGTAACAACAAGTACCATCTTTTAACGCCTCTTGGTATGACGCGGCCGGGGATCGTACCCTGGACCTTCCGCTCTCCGCTCTACCACTAGACCACGGAGGCGGTCGAGAACGTAAATAAACTCGTATGAGATGATATTTTGGCTTTATACATGCAAGGCAAATCATGCTCCATGTTAATGTCAAGTAAGGGGAAACACAAGGACTTAATGATAGTGGGTTTTGAGCGGTAATTTGGATGAGGACACTGAACAGTATAACGTTACTTCCTCTTTCTGCGAAAAGTAATTTACTACACAATAGGCTATTACATAATGAAGTCATTAACTGTCGCCATCATTTTGATTAATTTGATTTATATGTAATTATGATTACTAATTTATGGGCTTAGAGCACAAGCGTGCAATTGTCATTAATTAGTTTTACATATGACATTCTAGATGGGTTTCTATTCTTTTTAGACAAATATTTTGTTCCAGAAAAAAACAATTTTGTCTAAGATTTTAGAAAAAAATAGTTGGCTGGACATGCCGAATGTCCAGTAAAAACATACCAGATTGTGTCAATTATGGATCGTCGGACTTGCTTAATGCGACGGGTTTTCTCAATTGAGATTGTCAAGGTAGTAAGGTCTACGTACGTATACAAGTTCTCAAATCTTGATGGGGCGGTGGGGAGGCATAGAGGTTAAAGCGTTGGCTCGTCTCGTTAATTCCCCGCATGGGTACAAAGTGTGAAGCCCATTGCTAAAAGCGGCGTAAAACCATACTCACTCACCCCCTCTAATCTTGATAACCCTGTATATTCCCGTTATATGTGCACATACAAACCACAAGAGCATGTAGCTAAGATTGGAGATTTGCATTACATTTAAAAGTTATTTCCCCTTTGATATCCTGGGTTAGAATAGGTCCCCAATTGCCTATTTCGTCGCAAGCGGTAGGGTGGTCAGACTGGGTGACCTCTTTGATTGGGTGTAAAAACCGACGGCGCGGCACGTTGCTGATAATATCAACAACTGGGTTGTCACGCACACGCACATGCAAACGCACATGAACACACACACACATGCACACA